AGTCACCTGCGGCTCCACACAGAAATGCCTCCCATCTCAGAGTGCGGAGGAGACGGCCCTCACTGCAGGGCTCCGGCAAGACGGCACCGGGGACCCCGAGTGCCACGCTGCCCAAGAGATGCCAATAAACAGAGGAAGTTCAGAGAAGAGCAACAAAACTGGCTGCTAGGAGAAATGACCAGACAGCTCAAGGTGTGCGGCACGGCTATGTGGCCCCACGCAAGGGAGGCAAGCAGCAGTCTCCGCGCTTCGATCGGCAGCGCTAGACACAACCAGGCAGACAGGAGTCACCCAACGGGGCAGATGGCTGTAGCCAGCACAGTGGGAAGAGCTGAGGCACGTGGGAGCGTCCCTGTGAGACGCTGCGGAAGAGGCTCTGGCAGAAGCGGTGGAGTCTCGCCACGTGGCAGACAAACTGCTAGGCCCTGCCCTGGAAGGACTGGCTGAGCCGGGCCCTGGGCTGGGGGCCGGGGCTCCCCCAGCTCCTGCAGTCCTAGGACCAGAAAACAGCGAGCCCAGTGCCGAGAGGACCATGTCTCCACTGCTTGGATCCCAAGAGACACAAGTAACACCAGCTACTGACAATAAGTCTTGGGCTAGGGGGTGGCTGCAGCACCCCACTGCAGCTAAACTTCCTGCGACGCAGGGTGGAGACTGGCCCCGAGGTACGCAGGACACCTCGGCACCTGACTGCTGCTGGACTTCCCTGGGACGGGGCCTGGCACCCTTACCCTCGCCGCCGACCCTGGCCCCTCTGCAGCCAGGGTATGTGCACGGAGGGGACGGGTGGCACGGTGCAGCTACGGGCTGGGCTGCCCCTTTCCCCAGCCTGGGTCAGACCTTCATGGGTTAGATCTGGCCTGGGGGACGGAGGGTGCCAACCCCTGCCACAGGAGCTCGAAGCACTTTGGAAATCCCTGGCACCTCAAGGATGAGGAGGAATGACACCGAGTTGCCCAACTGCCTGCAGCCCGAAGATCCCAAGCTGCTCCGCCGTGCCCCCTTTTCTCTCCTTTCCCATCCTCGAGCCTTATCTCCTTCTCAGCAGAGTATCTTAGCCATTAAGTGCTCGACAAAACGACGTATATTAAAAAAGGGCAGGGGGAGGGGTGGTAATAGATTTCCGTCAGGATGTGCCTGACCTGTTTTTTTCAATTTCAGTAATTAGAAAGGCGGTGGGCCTGTAGGAATTATTCATAAGCTGCAGGAGCTGTGCAGTATACATTTATGTTAAACATGTCAAATCCGATGGAAATCATGCCTGCCAGCACCAGACTCCATAAACACACTTTTCTGCAACAATTTCCCAGCTCTTGGCAGCCCGTTAATACCTCCTTTAATAGCAATCTACCATGGATTGGAATCAGGGATGCTCCATTGCACTAATTGCTCTGTGTTAGGTGAGCATCATGGATTTAAAAAAAAAAAAAATCATTTTTAAAAAAAACCCCCTTCAGGCTACTCCTCTAGAAATATTTCATTTCAATCTATACTTTAAGTAGGGATATTTTTCAAAAATGCTGACATACTAAGTCTATACAATTGATAACATGCCAAGAAAGTCTCTCATGCAGTGGGGTCGCTGGGGGATTGAGGTGGTCTTTCATATTTTCTGTTTAAAAATATTAAAACAAACCCAAAATTCTTGAAGTCTCAAATTAGTCTCCCTGGATCCGACTCGGGGCTTTAGGTGGAAACCAACACATCCACTAGCGAACATGAGCATCTTGAATGCAGTCGTATTTTCATACAGTGCAAACAATGTCAGGCAGCGATTGCATTCTCCTTGCTTATGTGGGACGAATCTCATGTGAATCACAATACGAGTCTCTGCTCAGTGGCTGAGATTTGAGAACTGCCTTTCTCCTCCGGCACTAAAATTGGAAAGAAGGAAGCAGGAAGCTCCACCTCCAGAAGCACTCAGCCTGCATCACTTGAGTGCTTAGAAGCTGTTTAATCTTAGTACTGGAGTGAGAAACAGAAAGGAACAGGCCCAATCCAGAAACAGGAAACATTAGCAATTTGCTGCTAAACCAATAAATAATTGATTTAAAAAAGTCACGCACCATTCTGAATCCCTATGAGAAGTTGCTGATTCTTATGAGCCTCTGGCCAGGTTCCCGGGTACAGGCCTGCAGACAGCTTTCTGACTGGGGAATGCCAAAAAGAGACTTTTTTGGTGAAATGTCATGTCATCTCCGACTGGGACCCCGTGACCCAGAACTGTTGCTTTTTGCCCAGTCTCTTAGAGGGGACTGGACTCGCATCGAAAGGAGCACAAATTCTAAATTATGTATTTTGATTTGAAAATGAATCTTCATACGTACAAGATGTCGAATGCTTCTGGGAGATTACTTGAAAACGGAACTTCTCTGTTCAAGAATATCCTATTTTCAAATTAGAAATACAGGAAATTTTCAAAGGTCTGTTCTGAAAATGGACCGCTGTTATAAATTTGCAATGAAATAGGAAATACCAAAGTGAAGAAGTTTTTCCCCTTCACAACAAGTCTACCTCTGCCGCTCCCTGCCAAGTAGCCGGTGCTGTCCTGATGGACTACTGCCCTGCCTCTGCAAACCACTGTTGTAAAACTTGACGTTTCCACAGCAGCTTTTCATGCAAGGGCCTCACAATGCTATGCAAAAGTGGATGGTATTTACTCCGGTCTACAGGTGGGAAACTGAATGCACAAAACAGTTAAATAGATGGCTAAGGGCCACAATGAGCCAACAACAGAGCGAGGAGCAGAACCCACTCTCTTGGCTTCCCATTCAAAATCCTATTTCCTAGCTCACAGGAGGGCTTGGGCCTGCATTTCCTCTTTGTCCTGCTCTCTTACTGTTGCCGAGAGAGTTTGGGAAGCAGAAACCACGCGGGACTCTGCTGTATGATGACACGTGCTTTACAGTCGTATTTCTCTGGAATACATGGATAGGGGATTATGTGCTAAGGAGCTGGGCTCCAAACAGATCACTTCAGCACATGCTTAAACTCCTCTGAAGTCAAGCCCTGACCTTGCAACTTGCTCTGGACAGACCTTAACGAGGTTGTCTAGGTGCAGGGGTCTGCCTATGTGGACCCAGTTATGGGATTTAGGCCTGCAGACAATTTTTACAGCTAGCCAGATTTGGAGCTGCTGCCCGGCAGGCTTCCTATTCATGCACTGAATGGAGCTAGCACTGAAAACTGGCTTGGGATTTCACAAGGCAATGAGAAAGTCAGAAATCTAAACCCAACATCCAGATTTTGTGCATGAATCGGGGATTTCAAAACCATTACTTTTAAATGCATCCCTAAAAAACAGCCCGTGTGGAAACTCTCCTCTGAACTGCTGCAACCACCACCACAAAAGCACCATGCTGGGCCTTGAGATATGGGGAGCCCCTTAACATTTTAAATAGTTCAGACAGGTCCTTGTACTTGTTGGCACTGAACTTCACCTTCAATGTTGCTGCCCATGCTCCTAGCTGGATTCCCGCTGTTAACTGCCCCTATCGCAGTAGCACTAGGGGGCCCGGCCACAGATCAGGGTGGCACCGCACACACTCGCACGGGGCAGTCTCGGCACCCACGCTCAAGCAGTTTTGCCTGCTGGGGTTTACACAGCACGTGCCAAAGTACAACTGATCCTCTTGGTCTTGACAGGCCCTGTGGCAGCGAAGGGCTCAAACTTCTTCATGGAGCTGAAGCCAGAGGTCATGCTCTGCCCCGTGATGCCTGCAAGACCTGGGCGCAAAGGCCCTCTTCAGCTGTGGCTTGTCGGCAGGCAGCCCTCGTTGGAGTGGGCCCTCTCTCAGAAAGGGAGGCTGGCAGGGAAAGTGCTGGCTCTGCAAGCCAGGAAAAGCACGGCACTAAGGGACCAGATGTTTGTGTGGTTTCTTTGGTTACTCTGCAGACAAGGGAACATGCCTGGATCATTTATGTTCCCCCAGCGAAGGGGGGGTGCACGCTGGGCTCTCTCACTTTGCCACGGAGGAAAGCCAGAGCTGCTCAGACGGGTCTCTACACCAAGGAGAAAAATCCCTCTTTCTTCCCATCCTGCAAGTGGCCCTGGCTAGTCAGTAGGCTCCCAGCTGGAGAGAGAAGCGCACCTGCCTGCAGGGAGCAAACTCAATGCGGTTTCCTGCTCAACACCACAAAGACTTTCAAGAGCTTTTTAACCATCCTGGGATGGTCCTGCCTTGAGCAGAGGGCTGGACCGGGGTCTCATGCAGCCCTCCCGTTAGGGGTTGTGAGTCTATGAGATCTTTTCCGTGGTAGCGAGCCCCTAGCCAGGGGAGCGGCAGAGCTGCGCATTTGTATGTGAACGACGTGCATGCAAAAGGGACCTTTAGATTTGAACCCTCCCGCGTATTTTTGATTTTGCGCTCGGTTCCATACAACTCCAGGGGAAAAGGGAAGTACGCAGCTGAAAGTTTGCTTGCAAGGTCTTTGGGGCAGAAGCTGTTTCTGCACAGTGGAGAGCAGGCCAGCGAGGCTTGGGGCTCTAGAAAACAAAGTGCCGTTCTGTCAGTCTTGACAGCAAAGTGTTAATGGAAAGCGGGAGCCTTACGCCCTCATGCCACGCTGACAGTATTGCCTAACAACGTCATTTAAGTAAAGCAGCAGCTTGCTTCCTCTGTAACTTTCCGCTTCCCCCATGTCGTTACGACTAATTTGGAGAAGGACCACATACTCTCAGGACCTGCTATTTTCATGACCCCTGCTTTCTTCTCTCCCAACTGTTTGCAAAGCCTAACGCACACTGTGGCACTGAATCCATGTTTTCAGGCTAAAATGAGACAAACATTTTCCAGCAGTAACATGAACTAACGGGGAGAGAAGAATGGCTGGAAGCCGAAACAGCTGTGGGAAAGCTAAGGAGCTGGAATGTTCTCTCTCAAAAGGAAATATAAACGGAAGAAAACGAAAGTGTGGGTTTCCACGGGGCAGCACTTTGCGAGCCAGCTGTCCAGCTACCCTCCACTCGAGCTGGCTCGGAGCAAGGGAGCAGAGCCTACCTGTCCATTTGCTCGGGTCTTTGTCACTGCCACTCTCTTGCTCCTTAGCAGGCTCTTCAGGGTCGGCAGCTGTCTCACTGGCCCCTTCCACATCTTCAACTGCTTCTTCTGAAATGCAAGCAGTGAGAGAAAACCAGTAAGAGCAGAAGCAGTGACAGGAAGGTCTACACAGCTGAAGAGCTCAGTACCATCCCATCCCCGTAGCGCACGCGTGAAACGACGTCACGGCTGCGCCCAGTGATTCTGATTCACGTACACAACTATTTTGTTGTGAGATGTGCACAGAAGCTGAGCTAACTGGATGGGTCCTTGCTGGGCTGCATTGCCTGGTAAGCCTCGAGGGCTGGGAACGCAGGACACTAGCATTTTTCCTGGCCTGTTCAAGCTGCTGCTGTCCCGAGGACGAATCCTGGCCAGACATCCACCCACCCACGGCTCAGACTCCAACACAGAGCTGCACGGAGCATTTCTAGGCACAAACTCGCTTCGTCTCAAGGCTGGCTATACTTTCAACAGAAATGAAACAAAGAACTGTGAAATAATAGAAACAGGAAGAGGAGCCCTGCCTTCTCAAGGCCTCGTTGCTGCTGGAGTGAGGATGGGCCTTCCTGCTGAATGGAGCAGGGGCGGGTGTACCTGGATGACAGGCGTGCAGCGGCATTTACTCCCAGTGCCTGTTTCAACATTGCTAGTGCTGGAGGTTGCTGTGTGCTCCTGCCAATAGCCTGGCCTCTTCCACGTAACGCCAACCCCCTTACCTGGGAGCTGCCTGCGTTCAGCCAATACTAACCCCGGCGGAGAAAAACAAGCAGGGACTTATCCTAGGATAGGTTCCAGTGGGCGGCTGCTCCGGGCAATGGCCTGCAGCAGTTCACACGTTGCAAAGCAGCTTGTTTCCTTCATGAATAAGGAATGAGAGCAGCCCTGGGGAAACCCATCGCATGGGACACGCACTGAAGGCCCAAGTGGGTCGCTCCAAAACCCGAGGTGCAGAGTTTAAAGAAATCACCCGGCCCGAGGGAGGGCCTGGACAGGGGACGTTAGTGGGGTGCTGGCCCAGGTCACGGAGGCGTCGGCTCCTCTGATGAACTAGAGCTCAGTGCCACCGACCTCAAGCGCCGAGCGCCCGGGCGCACCAAGGGGCCGGGGCACGGAGATGGCGGGATACCAGACAGGGAAGCACCCTCGGAGCCGGCCGAAGGACAGCGTGGCCTGCACTGGCGCGGGAAGCCTTGCAGCGGAGTGCCGGTACCCAGGCACCTGGCTTCTGCTTCCAGGACGGTCCCGAGAAGCCTCTGGGCTGACCCTGGGCAGGTGGCTGAGGATCCCTTGTGTGCTGCCGGGAGGGCTCACCACTCCTCCCCACCATTCCTGCACAACAGGCAGCTGAAGCAAGAGCACTGCTGCTTTTCATGACACACGGACATGGCACAACACTGCTAGTAGCCTTCCTTTCATCCCAGCACCAGGAAGTCGTTAAGACAACAGCCAAGTAGCAGGAGAGGTGCTGAGATGAAACGACTTGGTGCCAGAGCGAGTTCACTGGTGAAGGATAAGAGCAGAGCCGAGTGCCAGGGCATCATGCAAGCAAAACACCGCCGAACGAGGGGGCAAAGGTCTTGCAGCTTTTGTACCCTACCGGTAGTACGCACCGACTAGGGTCAGGTCTGCACTGGGAAAATGCATATTTTTAACTATTGTAACTGTAGCACAGGCAGGAAAAGACAGTCTGAAGCTGCATTAGTTGGATACCCTGAGATAGGGCTAGAGGGGGACCTGACACACATCCTCTCTCCTAGTGAAGACAGGCCTCGAATGAGAGGCCACAGCGAGAGGAGCAGCACAGATGCCTTGGGGCAGCAACGTGAGGTGCGACAAGGGACTTGGCTCAATCTCTCAGAGCCCAAACTCTCTAGAGCTGTCTGAGTTTAAGGGGTCTTGTACTCCTCGCACAAGCCCCTGGTACCTTTAGAGAAAAAAATATATTTCAGCAATAGGCAGAAAAGTGGAAGTGATGGATGCAGAGACTGTCCCCTTGGGGGCTGAGCAGCAGGGAGTTTGCTGGAGGGCAGGGCTGTGGGATCAGCACGTAAAGTCGTATTTTGGGAACTGAGATTCCACAAGTTCTCCCTCCTCTGAGAAAAACCTTAGCAAGGAGACAGGGTTTTTTTTACTGTCTAAGAGAAGCGACAAGCCACAGGGTGGAGAAAGTTTCTGTTTAACAGGAGAGGCTGGGACAACAAGCTGGTAATTATTTAATGGGTTTTATACTGGAACGCAAACTCGGCTTTTTTCCGTCCCCGACTCAATCGTCTCTGCGATGCCTCGTTCCAAGACATTCCAGACGAACTATAATTGTACAGTGAGGCGGGCCAGGAGTCCTGCTGGCAACTCAAAAATGTGCACTTACATAGCACCTCTTATCTGAGCAACGCAAGCTATTTTAACGAGAGGTCAGTCAATCCCCATCCCCATTTCGCAGACTAGAAAGCTGAGGCACAAAGCAAGACTCTGGGTTAAAGACCTGGGACACAGCAACAGCCATCAACATAGATCTGGCTCTCCTGACCCTGACTCCTTTGCTCCCGCCAACAGCCAGAAAGGTAGCACTCTTATTTCAGAGGTCGGGGAGGGCAGCGAGGTCCTGGGCGGAAGCCCTCGGCACGCCAGCGAGGCTGCCGACATCCTCCCTGGCTAACAACAAAGAGCCGAGCTCGGTGCAATCCCGCCGACGACCCAGAGGTGTCAGCATCTGCATGGCGAGGAAGACAGAGGCTACCCAGCAGCTGGATGCAGACACTGTCTGGGCTGCCTAACCTGAGCATGTGGAAATAATATACGTCTTCAAGTGAACTGTCTGGTTCTGGAGAAATAAAATAGGACATTCATAAGCAGTTACACCATCTGTCTTTATACCATCATCATCAACAACAAGGGGAAAAAATAGCTCTTTAAAATGGATGAGAGCCCAGGCTGACAGTAACCGGAAAAATGTGAGCTATGAATACCAATAAAGGTAGAAAAATGATTAAAAAACAAGGATACAAACTGCAAATTCCTCTCCCTGCTCAGCGTGTAGCCCACACCAACGCAGAGGCGCAGCCTGTTTTATTGGTCAGCCTCTCGAAAACAAAGCCACCGGCCGGGAACTTGCCCTGGGAACTCGCTGAGCCCCTGGCACTGGAAACTCGGCTCTCGTCTCAGCCTTAAGTCTGCTCTGCCTGCTTGGACCGACAAGCTCTGGACCACAGGACCAGGGCTTTATCTTTGCTTTGATTTTATTGCTAACACGGCAGAAAGCTTCTGCAAGGCTGGCTGCTTTCAGAGGGGAGGGGAGAGGCAGCGGAAAAAAAAGTTGCAGGGGACGTGCTCTTCCACAGGATGGCACCAGCCTTTCCAAGGGCAACTCGGAGATCCCCTGGCCCTCAGAAGAGCGGTCCCTCCCATCTTCACTTGGCGCCCCATTGCCATGGGCCCAAGGGGCTGCGGCAGGAGTGCAGCGATACAGGAACAAAAGAGCACCCTGTCCCACCTTGTGTCCATGCCCTCAGGGCCCCTTCCTTCTCCCGCTCACCCCGGCACGCTCCCTCCACGGGAGGGGTCCCGAGCGTCCGCGCGGACCTCCCCCAGGAGGAAGGAGCTGGTTTGCAGCCCCTTTCCCCCCAGTGCTTTTGATAACCGCTCTGCTTGCTACGATCAGGGGAATCATTATCACAGGCTTCTCAGCACGATTCAACCACGGGGCTGGTCAGGTCTAGCTGGTACATGCACTGCCGTTGGGTTCTGCATCTGCCTCCGAAACACCAGGAACTGGCCTCTATCAGGGCTGGGCTCCTGGATGGACCAGCGATTTGATCCATTCAACACAGCCCGCCTCCCCAAGCAAAAGGAGATGCACCGAAGGACCTTTCCTCTCCCCAAAGGCCCTTGCTCTCCAGCTGTTCACATCTGCAGTGCCCGACTGACTACTCTGAGCCGCAGAGCAAGGCCCGCAAAGACCCGAGGAAGCGCTCTCCCATCCTCCTTCCCTCTCGCGCACTGAAACAATGAGGTTACAGATCTCCCAGGGGAAGGGTCTCGTCCCCCTTCCTCCTTTTCACATTCTGTGATGCCGAGGTGATGTTAAGGAACGAGTTTCTTTTCCCATTTATTAGCTATAATATCCCGAGGTCACGGCAGTTGCTTGCTGCACCCAGACGGGGCTGCCTCGCACCCTTCTGCCCTATGTGCAGCCCGACTCTCTCGTTGTCCATTTCTCACATCAAGCTGGAGGTATTTTGTGCCTGGAAAACACCCCAGGGATCCCCATCTAGAAGGTTTGTTCCACTTGTCCCCCAAGGCTCAAAGACAGCTCACCTTCGAGCCACCCACCATGGCTGCATCGATCCCTGTGTGACGGCTACGCCTTGGCTGCATTTCCAGAGATATTTTGAGCAGTCTCAGTCCGGCTGATGGAGCCTCACCCCTCTTGCAGCCAAGCACACTCGCCCTAAGCCCTGAGCCGGAGGCCATGCCTGCTGAGGAAGCTCCTTGCAGAGGCCCTGCAAGACTTCGAGAGCCTCCTCCCTGGTCTCAGCATCTCCTGGTCAACGGGGCACACGTCCAGGATCACACACACCCAACTTGAAATGCACTTTGGGGAGGCTCCGGCCCCCACAAGCGGCTCTGCAAGGCGGCAGCTGCTGCTCCAGTGCACTGACGAGAAGAGCCCATTTTACAGGCAGACACAGCGAGGCGGGCGTCTCAGTTACGGGGCGGCTCCTGCAACCTGTACCATGTCCCCCGAGAGCCCCAAACACCAGGCTGCGACTTGGGAAGGGCCGGGGGCCTCCCCTGCCCAGGTAGAGGGCGAGGGCCTGCTGCGAAGGAGTTTGTGTGAAGGAGACGGTCTCACAAACAAACCTCTCCGCCCAATAGGCGGTACTGCCTTGACACCACCCGTGAAGCACGCAGCACATGCTCGGTGCCTTGGACGTGGTCTCACAACCACTCCACAAATCCCTGGGCCAGACACTACCGCCACGTGGCACTCGGATGCTGGGAAATTGGCCTTCAGTCCCTCGAAACCCACCCCTGGAAGTCCTGGGATGGAGTGTTCCCCCCCCCCC